AAATCCGTTTCGGAAAAAGAGAGTAGACCCCCTGTTCTTTAGGTGAATTCAACGGAGAGTGGCTACGCAATTTCATTCTAAAATCATTATTTTTTCATATTGACTAAAAATAAATTATTTCATATTGACTATATATAAATAATACTCATAAACAAAAAAAATCTGCGCACTTTTTCCGTCAGATACGAAGTTACAACTTGGTCCTTCTACTTAATTAATTAAAAGTGAAAACTAATTAATTAATTAGTTACCTTATTTTTTAATTAATAGCATGATGACTCCGTGCTTTGACTGATTGGTTTGTTCTATATTTTTTTATGTTAAAAAGGTGACAAACAAGCGTATGGCCCGCCTGATGGTAAGCGGCCACCATAGACGCTTGCGATACCAACAATATCACTCGTGCCGTTGCCTACCCTGACCTAATATAGCCCCGTGGAGGCTAGTTAAGTCATGACATCGACAGCGTAGTTTAGTTCTTTTTTTAAATTGATTTCCGCCAATTATTATCCTTATTCAATGTTTAAATTTAATTTATAAAAAGAAAACTTAATAGAAGCAGCAGTTTTGGCGTGCACACTTTTCAGGGGATTTTTTGGCGGGATCGGGAAGCGTCTCTTTAGTAGATTTGTTTTTCTTGTTAAAAAAATGTGTTGTGGCGGATGTTAGTGTCTAATAATGGTGGATTATTAGCCACTAAGTGTTCGGGAACATGCACAAGTGTTGGCAAGTGAAACAAAATAGCAGAATGTGTCTTTCGACGTTCCCTCAAGAAGTCCACGGGGAGGTTTCAGTAAATCCCCACACTTTTACTGAAACATGGGGAAAGGGGGATTGACTTGACTGCCACTTACTTTGACTTGACTTATTACTTTGACCAAGAGTGCTATTGTATTTGTATACATTTAACACTTGACATTGGCTAAATGCACAAGCCGTGCGAAGCCATTTAGAAAAAAAAATACCTACCTTTCAGGGGGCTTGAGTAACTATTGACATATGAAGTAGTAATTAATTTATGGATTCATACAATTTATTGCACTAAATGTATTTATATTTGGAGAAAATTATTTTTACTTATTTAGGTACATTATCGGTTTTATTTAATACACGAATAGTAATGACATGAAATATAACTTTCTTGCGCCGGTTTTGAGATGAATCACCCACCATTAAATTAAAAGCAAACTATTTGGCATACTAAATTGACTCCATTGTAATGACTAATTAACTAGATTTAAAATGTGTTTTATTTGGCAATAATTATTACTATTATTATAGTTATTCATATCAATATAATATGCAATATCCTGACTGAGTCCATGCGTTAAAGAGTGCAAATTAAATAAATAAAATAAATGTAAAGCATAGACAACATTTTACAGTTTTCGTTTTAAATGCAATTTTACTAACCACTATATTCTTGAGGCCTTTTTTTGGTAGTAATTATAATATTACATAAGTATTGAAAAAATCTATTATTTTTTGTTTAATCTTTCTATTACTGCGTTGCAATTTATTTAATTTTTAATTAAGGCTACCAACAAATTTGCATTTATATTATATACACCTCATCTACACTTTTATAATATTTAGAACATATACGTATAATATACATATACATTACTAAATGTATATAAATTTCGTATATACACTTGATTTATAATTTCAAATGTTGTAAGTAAGAAATCCTAATAAAATAAATGGTCTTTCATTCTTTTATTTTATTCTTAACAAACAACCTTTGAAATCATGATTTCTATTGGATATATTTTTGATATTTGCATACTATAACTAGATCAGGTAACAAAGTGACTCGATATAGATAAGAATATACTATGTTACTTTACATGCATACTATACATAATGTTTAATTATACGCTAATGAAATATTCGTTTTATTTATAAATAATAAAACAAATATCTACTACTGCACATGATAATTTCCTGATTTTTTTAATTAGAGGCCAACTATTACATTTATTTCCAATAAATATTTTCAGAGATTTTAGTAAACAATAAATTAATATATAAGGTTAATTATATTGTTTCCATTCAAACACTTATATAATTAATCGCATGAAACTTGTCGAAAGTAATATCATAATTTGCAAAATTTGGTTTTTAGAACGAAATTCATTGATAAAATAAGTCTTAGAACGAAACTGTATGGTTAAAGGTATGGAAACATTATAGTTGTATAGTGTTTAAATTTTTTAAAATATAATATAGGTATGGTATAAAAATATAAGGTACCGGGTAAATATTTAAAATTGTTTGCATATGATCACAACCGTTTTTAAACTCTACAAACACAACCTGTAATCTAGTATAACGTGTTATTAATGTGTTAATAAATAATAAAATAAAATAATAAGTTGTTGTTTGGGAAACTAAATAAAACAGAATAGAAATAATAATAATAATAATGTTTAATAAAACAAAAAATAAAACACCATAGCAATACACGATAGAATGGCAATAATATTATTAAAATCACAACATTCGGTATATTTCATTTGGATTTTTAATATATCTACATATTTATTACAGTGTTACAATCTAAAATGATTATCTACAACAGTTATAATTATAATCTAGGAAGGAATTATTGTTATAATGGTATTGATATATTCTAAAGTAATGTTTTGTGACGTATTTCGTAACTGAAAGTCGTAGTAATAAATATCATTTATATAATATAATTTACAGAATTAGTTAAACTATGAATAAAAAGAACATTAGACAGTAAAAAAATATTTTGGTTAATTCGATGGTACCTAATAACCAAGTAATCCCTTCCTGATAATATAATTTAGTTTTAAAACACGAACACTCATGGGCGCGATTAAATAACACCATAGTCATTTCAAGTACATTTAGGCGTTTTGCAGACGACGGGGCGGGGCGGGCATTTTGTCCGCGAAGCAATAAAAACCGCGTCTGCCCATCGATGTCTGCGGCTGCCCGCGCCGCGTACACAAAGCACACGACGGGCAGAGGCGGTCAGTTCAGGACGTTCGTTCTAGTGAATACTTCATCACTAAAAAGCGCGTGGCGCGAAGTGAGCTAGCCGCCCCGCGCCGCCGTCTGCGTTACTGCATATAAACTGGTTTGTATGATCCACGGCGGGCAGCCGCGGACATGCCGCGCCGCCACTGCCCGCCGGGCACCCAAGGCGGGTCTTTTTACCCTCTGTGTGCGTTTGTAATATAGGATTCACTTTGTGCTATCGTTCGCGGCGAAATTGACCGGCCCGCCCCGCCCCGTCGTCTGCAAAGCGCCTTAACGTTATTTATTTTCCCATATTTTGTTTAAATTGGTCATAGCGATAGAAAAAAAAACAACAATAAATGCAATATTATAGCCATGCCAGAATAATGCTTATAATTTTACTTGTACATAACAATAATTATGCTATTCGGCGACAGAATAATGTTGAAGCGGTTAAGTTAACAAGTGTAAAGTTGTCAATACTTTTTACTTTGGCTATAGGCGACTTATTTATAAAGAATAAAAATATTTTTATTTTTACACAAACCTATCCTTAGCTCAGAGGCCATGCTAAGTGATGACGTTAGTATAAAAAAATAAATAAATAGCCTCCCTAATTAAACTTCCCTCTATGAACTTAATAATCGAGTTTTAATACCTGATAGCAAAAAAGATACCGGGTATAAACAAAAAATCAATTGTTTTTATAATCGTAGTAAAATTTCGCTGAATAGGGGTGACGAAGGGGTAAAGTAAACGAAATTTCATTTAGTCCGTCAGTTAGATGATCAAAAAATAATGGACACGTATTTTTTCTTTGGGCAATCAACCAAAAAATGTCAAAAATAAAGCGCGTCAAAGCTCGTGACCTCACTTTTAAGTGAAAATTGTACCAAAACGTGACGTCATGCGACTTTTCAAATCAATATATCTCTGCAATGTTTATGTTATGGGAAAAAAGAAAAAATACGTGTCCAATACTTTTTGATAATCTACCTGATAAACGAAGAAAAAAAAGTCGTCATCCCTATTACACAAAACCGACTGAGTTTAAATCTCAGACTTTGTGGGTATTTTTACTTGCACGCAGCCCCAGTGTTACATGAACTTTATCTTACTTAATATTATTTTCTTATCAAGTACTGCCTATTGTGTTGGTGATTGAGAATGTAGTACCTATATCTTTAGGGTAGAGTTAAAATTGTAAAGAGTTTATAGGCTCTAATATTTCAAATACATCGTAAATTGTAAAACTTTGACAGGTTCTAACATATCATATCGTATATGAAAATGTAATTATAGATAAATAAAATGAAGCTCATTATTGTATTTTGTTAACAGATTATAATATATGAGTCTTGCCAAATTGTGAAATGTCACTTTTTTACTTATTTTAATATTAATAAGCAGTACTTAAAATAATAACTAGGATAATCACAACGAGACTGTATCGAGACATGACTGAAGAAGGCAAAGGGACAAAGCTTTATAAAAGCGTGTGTGTGTGTGTGAGTGAGCACTGACGCCTGTCGCGTACACAGCGAAACGTTTCTATTGGTTGCGACACAGGAGCTGTATTTTGATTCGCTCGCCTGACAAAGTATCGTCGAATGCGACTTAAGTCACTTTCGACTTCCAAGTCGCATGATATTGATTATCCGTATTTTTTAATCGTTCGTCTACAGTCACCAGTTTAATACAAAATATTGGTTTTTATGAATTTCACTGAAAATTATAAAAAGCAGTCATTACCGCTGTGAAAAAAAACGTATAATTTTTAATAACTGGTTATTTATTAATGTTTTGGCTTTTTTGTAAGAAAACGTCAATCAACATCTAGTGGTCAAGACCGCTCGTTGACGTCGAGCGATTCAAAAATACGGAATTAATTATGTCGCATGAAAATTAGTAGAAATTGAGCGTTCGACGCAACGCGAGTGATTCAAACAAAAATAGAGCTCCTGGGCCTTGTGTCTAAGTAAGAAAATTCTCATATCTTGACCAAAACTTGGTTCTGATTGCGTCGTTGCTGTCGAGTGTGAGCGGTGATTGGTTAGATTGTTTGATGTCGCGTCGCTTGATTGGCTATTATCTATTAGGTGGAAGTGCAGTGGGAGCGAGCTAGCGACATCGGTTGTAACCTCTTTCTGTGTAGGCTACCAGTGCTCAATCACACAAGCGCACCGCATGAAGTTTTGCCTCTGCGCCTTATTTACTCATGTGGTATGAATCTCAAACATACTATGTACTATGTAATTAGTGGGTAAGTATTTGTATCTCCTCAGTCATCACGCTTCGTACCCATCCCGTGGTTTGATTACAATTTTTCTGTAAAAAAAACAATGACAACTTAAATTAAAACACATGTTTTAAGAAATATATTCTACATTGTTCGTTTAATATCTGAGAATACCTATATAAATAGAAAGAGAAACCTGTACCTTGACATAAAGGTACATTGATTTTTTTTTTAATTTTGACAGTAAAACATCATAAGAGCTATGTGGGTTAATGTTTAATTGTCACTCAGAGAAACTGCAAAAAGTGAACATTCGGCGTTTGTATGAATTGATTGTACCGAACGGATAGAAATAAACTTGGGTTCAGTTATGTACTCTATAATAATCAGTTTTCAATAAGTGCCATAAAAAACGATAGTATTGACGACCTCCGTGGCCGAGTGGTTTGTACGCCGGGTTTAAAGATGTCGCCTACTCGAGAGGTCCCGGGTTCGAATCCCGGTGGGGGCAGATGTTTGTGTGATTAATACGAGCATTCATATCATGGATGTTTAATATGTTTTTCTATATAAATATACTTATATATGTACTGTTAATGTTTTCTATCCGTTACCCTAGTATCCCATAACACAAGCCGTAAGGCTTTAGTGCTTACTTTGCGGCTATTTAAATATTATTATTATTATTTATTTAAAAGTAAAACAAAATGTAAAAAAACAGTTTAAAAAAAGTATAAAAAGTTTGAAAAACAAGCCTCGGCAACATTGCCAATAGAAAACTCATACGGTCACACTCAGAGACGCCAAATTATATTGTAAATTGGACTATGATTCGTAAGAAAATAATGTAAAATTTCAACAAATTACATTTAAAAATTGTTTATTAAATGACCATAGTTTATTATATTCCATAAGTAAAATGATTGGGTTTATACTGTTCCAATTACAATTCTTTTCTACATGTAATAAATTTTGTTTAATTTATTTTTATATTGCAATAGGTACTTGCAGTACCTATTGCAATAGGTACTGCAAGTACCTAGTGCTAGATTGGTGACTATTTAACACACAGGTTGAAAGAGACGATAAATTTAGACATGCAGCTAAAAGAGCGTACAAAATTCAAAGTTTGAACGCTGACTTGAGCGCACTTTAGCACGCACCAAAACTTCGGCACACAGGTCTGAGATTAAAATTGACATCTGTGAATGTGACCGTGAATCGAAATAATAAAAGCATGTGTTAGTAAAAAAAAAATACGTAATAATAGATACAGAGAATGGACTCAATGACACTCACAATCACAAGAAATTGACAACTATCTAGCATACTAGATATTTGAGCATATACAGGGTGTCCCACGGATTTCTCACACGGAGGGAAAGTATGTTAAATATTGAAGATAGGATATTTTACTGAAAGAAGACATCATTTTATTTTTAATATTAACTAGAACTGCATTCCGAGATTTTTTAAATCGCCTGCTACAACTGGGAATCAAACTCGTGAAATTGAAAAGAATACACGCTGCATTTTGTGATAAACATCGAAAGGGAATTGTAATTTCATGATCTACCCTTAGTTTAAGATGCTGTATTATTTAGGAAAAAATAATCCTCATGGTTTACCCTTTCGACGGTTATCATAAAATACATGTGCTTTTGTGTCACATTTCACGAGTTTGATTCCCGGTTTTTTTTTTCATTTATTGGGGATAGTTAACAACTACAAATTTACAATATGTAAAATAGTATTACTGTTAATTTTAATAACAAACATGCAGTCAAATACATTATCCACAATAAGTCTTTGCAATTTATAGTGAGATGCTAAGCAACAACAGATTAACTAGGCACCTATAATAATCACTTAAATATAATTGGGTCCTATTCTATGGCACTCAACTGTATAAGTAAACGGTGGTGCAAAATCTGACTTTAACAAATAGTAAAAACCAAATAGTTTTGGCATGCGATTTTTTTTAAACTGTGAATGCAGTTCTACTTGTTATTAAATATAAAATGATGTCTTTTTTCAGTTAAATATCCTATCATCAATATCTATATATATAAAAATGAAACCCGTTTTCCGTTGTCACGACATAACATGAAAACGGCTTGACCGATTTGGCTGAATTTTTTTGGAGTTTTCTAATACTCTGTACAAGGTTCTTACGGAAAAAAGTAATTTAATTTTTTTTTTTAATTTTATATTTTTTTTATAAATTTTTTATTTAATAAAAATTAGTAAAGTTCTCAGGTATGGCGAGACCAGGGAAATAAGGATTCATTTTTATATGGAGGATATTATAGATTCCAGTTCAAATTGAATAGGTACTCATACATAAGATAGGTCAGCTATACAAAATAAAGTAGTGCATCAAAGCTACACTAAGGCGGTACGAAGTTCGCCGGGTCAGCTAGTTTAATATACATTCCCTCCGTGTGACAAACCCGTGGGACGCTCTGTATAGCATCTCATAAGAGCATTTACAGTGCAGGTTAGACCTATCGCAGCTTTTCGCCGCATGATCGCTTCCTCTCTCTCATATTATCTGTCCAGTTAAACTTCGCAGTTGTTCAGAGAAGAACATCCATTCCATTTTCTATGTCCATACTAAATAAATCGTACCAAGTTAATATCATGCATTAAGAAGCGTAGGCATATCGGCTACACGTCTGTGGTGTACCTGGAAAGCATCAAGCGGATATTATATGCTGGAATCTAGTTTGAACAGTAGGGGAGACGAAGCTGGGATTTCGGGATTTACTCGAGTACAACAGAAAAACAAAAGAGGGCCACTTTGCACCTTATGAAGTTCGGAAGATGTTTGGCTCTATAACATTAGCTCAGGTACGGAGGGAGTACTTCACAATAGCCATGAGAAAGGACAATGGGCAAAACGCACCCAGCTCCGCCAACAATGTAATTAGTATGAATCGATAGATCTATGAAAAACTAGCCTTTTTTATTATGACACCGAAAATAAATATCCTGGGAGTCGAAAGATATGACACCGTAAAAAATATCCTGGTAGTCAATAGATATGACACATGGGCATATTTAAGTAGCTAAATAAATTCATTTTATAGTACCTTCATTTTATATTATTAGTAATCATAATAATATGCCATGTCGTATTATACAACCAGATATACGACAAAGCCTGCCGATCATCCTGCGCTTGCTCTTACTGAGACATTTTAAAACGGTTTACGAATGCTGAAGGACTTGCAGTTGCAAATAGTCGACTCGTCTTACTTCGTTGTAATTGTGCGGTCCCTGCTACTTGATTGATTTTTATCTAACACGCTTTGGATATTGAAACACGATTATCGATTTTGTCAATTAGTATGGATAAACTGAAATTATGTGTTCTCCGAAGCGTGGACAAGTTTATGTAATCTGTGGTCGCTCCGTTTTACATAGAAGACAATTTACTATAACGAACAGAATGTTTAAAAAAACCAACCCATATGCACCATATGAAGTACTCCAATAATTCCTGAGCACCCTATGTAGGGTCGAACTAACTAACTAAATTAATTCCCTTGTTTCATTAATGTTCGTTCATAATCGCTTGCGGTAGCGGCGTAGTAAAAATTCATTCATAGACATGTAATTATCGCTGTCTTACTTTTTCGTATAGCGCTGTCGCGATCACGATGCGGATGACAAATTGCAACTAAAACAATTGCAAATCAATTCATTATTCAATCAATGAAATGCTCTCTGTCTTACTTTTGTGTTGGCGGCCCGGATTGGCGCGTCCGACGCGAAGGCGGGGCGTAGTAAAAACTACTGTAGAAAACCGTTCAAAGCATTTTGTTCGCCAAGTGACAGAGCACAAAATTCCGCGATAGTACATGACCCTGTCAGGGTGTTGCAAGTACAATATCTATATCAACACAGCTACTAAACAGTTTCAGTTTCAAACAAGTTAGTGAGCTTTCCGTGACGGTTTCACTTATCATTCAAAAATTCATTTACCAAATAGTATATAATATTTACAAAAAAAAATATTCATAATTTTACTAAAAATCCACTAAAAAGATAATAGTTTTCTTATCTATTGTCACGTGACTAAAACGCTAGGGATTGGCGGAGCCTAAAATGACGTCACACGCAAGTAAACTTCCGGTTAAAGTGACATAACATTGTATCATTTGACGTTTAAATAACAGTCGTGTGACGTCACACACTAGTAAGACGCCATATTGTCCAGAGAAACGTTTTCGCGGCAACTTGAAAATGGAGTTTTTGATTTGGTTATTTTTACTGAAATACACAACAGAATGATGAATATCCACTTTTTACGGACTCCATAAACATAAGTCTATAACGTGAGATTGTTTTCTAAAACTTGTCAAATACCCTATTTAGCTTGATTGACACTTTGAAGTCTACCACAGTAGGTAGTTAACACCTACTTCCTACTGTAATTTAAATTAGGTGATTTGTTTTTTTTAAAACTTGCCCGCGAGCTACACATCGCTTCTTCACAAGGTGCCAGATTGATCTCTCCTTACGTTATTCTGCCGCGCGTGAGTAAATCCAAAAATCCCTGCATGGGCTATAAGGAGTTCGACAGTGGTAAATTTGCGATTAAGGATGTTAAGCTACTTTTGCAATGGTCAGTCGTAGGATGGGTGACCGAGAATTTATTGAATACCCTGAATTCCTTAGGTCCTGGGAAATCACACCCGTAATGTTTGAAACAAGCCAGTACAAACCTTTCTGGTTTAAAGTTACTAAGTTCTGTGAAATACCTACACACTCATTTTTTTCGTGTGACGCTTTTTATCACTTTATCATCGCTTTCACAGGACAGGAATTACAAGATACAAAAAAATAATCAGCGCCTCTTGCGCTGAGTGGCTAGAACTAGGGCTTTCATCCCGGGAGTCTCGGTCTCGAAAATTCCGAGAGTCTCGACGATTTTGTCGTATTTTCGAGACTCGAGACCTTAACTCCAGTTTTCGAGACTTTCGAGAGTTAGTTAAATAATCTACAAAAATTCTAATCTACTTAAAAGAATCTACTAAACTACCATTCCTTTTTTAATTCGGTTGCGTGGCAACACTGTAAAGTGAAAGTTAGTATAATCTGTAGAGATTGCAACTTAACCTCAAACACAAAACGTTCACAACTTAACTTATTGTTTCTTTATGAAAAGTGTGAATAATATAGCTACGATGTGTTCCTTAGCACAACAGTTCGTGGCGACAGAGGTAAGCATTTAAATCAGTGCTATAATTATTTGTATTCCCCCCCCCCCCCACTACTAGCGCCGAAGCAGAGAGATCTTTTTATAATGCAGGTTACTTTTGCAACAAGATCAGATCCTCTCTATATGAAAACAGTTTGAATGCCCTTTGCTTTCTGCGTGCCTATTATAAAAATGAAAAATGATAATTTTACTTATATTTGATTATATTGTAATATCTGATTATTACAGTACTTAATTGAAACATATTGTATTAATTGCCTAATTGTATAAACCTTGAGTATGAAACTTATTTTCAAAGTCTCGAGAATCTCGTTTTTCCCGGTAAGCCCGGGACCGGACCGAGTCTCGATTTTTTCCCGGGACTCGAAAATGTATCGAGACTGAAAGCCTTAGCTAGAACTATTTTCAGGCAACACTGGTAGAAGCTCTACGACATTACATACAGCAGATCCTCTTTGTTTTTGCTCCATGTTTGCGATTGTGTGATAAAGTAAGCGCTCCACTAACTCATTTCACTGGACAGAGAGTGCATTTAATATTAGTCGTTAGTACCCACTTAACCGAACTAGGCCCACGTAGTCCATTTTACATAAGAAAAACAGATTTTTACGTAAATTTTACTCTTAGTAGTTTGTCAGTACTATTAATATGGATGGAATAGGGAGATTGGGCCGTGCGTGACCCACCACGCGGGCCCAGTACGGATTAGTGTGTGCTAACGAATGCAGATGCAGAGACCAACCCCTACACATGTGCGTTCTGAAGTACAGAGGAGTGAAATATGTATAAAAAAAAATCCCCCATCCGATGACCGACCATTGCGAAAGTTGCTTAACTACCACGATTGAATCCGAACGCGCTTACCAAAAGCGCTAAAGAACCATTCAATAAGTAAGTGTAATACGTGCAGGTTTGTTAATCGATACTGCACCCTATTTGTATGTGCATAAAGCTCACCTGTCCCTCGTTGAAATTACGTCTTCGTCCGTCTCGATGTCGGACAATTCATCCCTGGTGAAGTTCCTGTTCGTGTAACCTCCCATGTCAACTGGAATGTGAAAAAAAAAACAACTTATTAACTGTATCCGGAGACAATTCAATACTGTATCCGGCTCAAAGGACCATTTGTTGAGTTCTATTCTAGTACTAGTGGCCCGCCCTCGCTTCGCTTCGGTGTAGAGCTGTAGTGTAAACTATAGTTTTTGTTCTCAGGCTTGTGTTATAAACAATGACTTTATTTATATAATTACACGTGTTATTGTGAGTCAACCGTAAAAGATAGACATATGCTGTTGCGGGATATTTTTTAGACAATTTTATGTAGAATATTTCCGTCATACATGATTTCTATGTAACTTTAACCATTAAAGCTACACACGCGACGGAAGCTTAAAAAATGGAGTAACTTCTCTCGTTTTTCCAACATTTCCCTTCACTACTCTGCTCCTATTAATCGTAGCGTAATGAAAAGTATACTATAACCTGCCCAGGAGTATGAAGAATAATTGTACCAAGTTTCGTTAAAATCCGTCGAGTAGTTTTTGTTTCTATAAGGAACATACATACAAAAATTTTACTGATTGCATTTTTCGCATCAGTATCGATCACTAATCATCCCCTGATAGTTATTTTGAAAATATATTTCATGTACAGAATTGACCTCTCTACAGATTTATTATAAGTATAGATGATTGATGTACGGTGACGAGACCCGACTTTGAAATTGAGAAATAGAAGAAGAGAATTTGGCTGAACTGAACTTGGCATAACCTCAACCATTTCCCGAACTATTATCTTCATCCTACAACAGCACAGTATCAGACAGACTGTTTCTTTCACTCTCCAATGTCGTTAAAAACGAAATCTATGGAACAACTTGTTATCCAAGTGTTTTCGTCGTTAATGCGTAGATCTTCAATAAAGCTCAGTTTTCTTGTACAATGCGTAAATAAGGCTATATAATATTAGGCTAGACCAGTTGCAAAAAAGGGTTAAAATATTCGATTTGGAAGATTCCGCTGTGTGCGCTGCGTAAATTATTAAAGTTACACAAAAACCATTTATGATGGAATTGTTCCCCTATAAAAGTTCTGTAAAAAAGTCTGCGACTGCATAAGCCCATCTTTTAATTTTGACTCACTATAACCTTTTTCCTCAGATTAACGGGGGTAACCGTAGGGGGCCTTTAGTTGTAGCATAAATGTAATAGTGAGACATTATGATATCGCGGACTTTTTCGTGTATATTTATGTCCTCTATAAAACTTTAATATTTCGCTTTGCTCTATTCTCAATGACATCCTCAGCGTAAGCGATATAAGGTTATTTTTTGGTATTTTTTCACACCCAGGGTTATATTGTGGTTTTTTTTATGTAGAACCCTAATTTTTTTGAAAATACTCTATAGCCTATATTCATCAGGGCTAATGTAGGATTGTAAATGTGTAAGAATTTTTCAAATCGGTCCAGTAGTTTCTAGCCTATTCAATATAAACAAATAATTTTGCACGAATTGCTTTAATTATCAGTATAAAACTACTATCATGTATGTGGTAGAATACAATATTTATTTATTGCGCTATCGTACACAAACATGACATGTTGCATTAAAAAAATGTATCTCTCAGAAAAATCAACTTACATGAATCACATTTAAGCGCACCTAGCGACATCTATTGTAAAAAAATGCATTTTCTTCGCAATAAAGCTGCCATGTGGACGTCCTAGATAGAGACTTAATATTATAATACGGTAAAATAAAATATGACTATGTTTCGTCCCATACACTGAAAGTCAACAACCTTTCCAATTTTATTGCGTGTCATGATGCGATCAGCCCACGTGTTTAACCTTACGCGAGTTTAACACTTTTTACCCATACACAAAAAAGTGTACAACGCCGCTTAAGAAGTTTTCACTTCAAGAATAAAATCTTTCCTCTTTATAATAGACATGGGCGTTTTTGGTTTTGAACGCAAACGGATATATATCGGATTTCAGATTTCAAAATAGATTTCAAAATCCGTTTTTAGATATCCGATTTCAGATGTGCCTAACTTAGCCAATTCACTAGTTTGCGTTAAGATTTGGTTTTATAAGCTAAAAAAACGGGCAATGACTTCTTTTTACAAATTTTTTTTCTATTTTTTTTTGATGAATTTTATTTTTCTGTTTGTTTATTTTTCAAACCATTTACAAAATCAAACCTAATTCCTTCAGGTTAGGGTTCATAAATGTAAGTTGCTCGACTTTTGATGTTTTTAGACGACACCTCTTTTCAGTGATAAATAATCCCGCCTTAGAGAAGAGCAATAGATTTCCTTAAACAACAAACCGAAATCGGACTTCCGAAATTTGCGCCATCTTTTTTACTTCTTACCAAAAGAAAGAGACAAAGAAATTCACTTTCTCTCTTTCTAACCAATCGCTACATAGCGGAGTAAAAAAGATAGCATGAATTTCGAATCCGATTTACATTTGGATACTTGTGGTGGTATTAGATCGCTGGCGTTTTGGTTCGGTTAGATTTCTGAAATCGGATTTTCTTGTTGAGAAATCGTTCGGTATCAATTTGTGTTTGAAATCGGATTTTGGATTCGTTTTGATATATCGGACGCATGCCTAGTATAGGTAGAATTATGTGAGAAAACCATTGCTTTATATTTTACCACTGCTGATAGTAACCTAGGTCTACCTGTTTTTGTCAAGTGCCACTCACCCCTAGCAGTGTTGTCGTATTGGCCGTCGCTCCACTTGTAGTCGCTCTCGTAGAGCGGCGGCAGTGTCTGGTGCGGCGTGGGGTACAGGTCCAGCCCGCGCTTCTCATCATACCCGCTGTCACGGAAACTGGGCTCCGGCATTCTGGAACGATGTTCAATAATATTAAGGAAATAGATTCCATATTCATTTATTGATATATTTTTTAAACTGAGTTTTTTTTTTTAATTGATATATTTAATGGATTTAATTGAGAGGAGCTCGATGGCGCGGATGGTTAGCGCATTCGACTGCGATCGTTGAAGTTAAGTAACTTTTGCAGTGGTCGATCATTGGATGGGTGACCAAAAATCTTCTATCTCGAGTTCCTCCGTGCTTCGAAAGTTACGTTAAGCCGTTGGTCCCTGATGCATCTTTAGTCGTTAGCACCCACCAATCGCGTGGTGGGTCATGGCCCGAACTTCCTATTCCATCCTTAGGGAAGGCCTGTGCCCCAGCAATGGGACATGTATAGGCTAATGATGATATTTAATAAGATTAAAGTAGGCTAAGGATAGTGCCACGGTTGTATACATTAATAGAAATTATACATTTTTTTAAATAGGTTCAGGTTATTTAATGAGGAAATTCAAAAGTTTGTTCCTCTTACTGCTGTAACTAAAATACCGTCACACGGTGAAGGAAAATTGACCACTAATACGTATCGGCAGCAGAACAAAATAACTCATCAAATGACCGCGAATCCTGCAGCACAAGCCAAGTCATTACATATGCCCCATATTCTTTGAAAGATAGATGGTAAGGTGTCACATAACGTGTAACGCCTACTGCATTCTCACCTAGTGTATGTGTCGACACAGCTGTACCGCCATAGCACGATACCCAGGATCGCCGTCAGAAGCACCACACCCACAGATATTACCATCCACACCGCCTGCACGCTGCTGTCGTCGGGGCTGGCGAACTCCTGGAAATGGCATTAATAAACAATAAACATTACATTATCGTCATGTCAGCCTATTAATGTCCCCACTTCTGGGAGGCCATCCCTATGTATGGAATAGGTAGATTGGGCGGTGACGCGGGCAAAGTGCAGATAGGTGAGTACTAACGACTGCAGATGCAGCCGGAACCAACGGCTTAAGAAACTCGAGACAATAAGTTCTTGATCACCCATGCAATGACTGGCCATTGCGAAAGTTAGTCAACTTTTACGATCGCAGGTCGAGCATGCTAACTACCTATCATCATTGCCATCGAGCTCCTCATGAACATTACACGAAACGGGAAAATCCAAAACTACTCTTAAAAATATTTTAAGGGAATTGGGGATTTTGGGCTCGAATAGGAACCACCGGTCTAGGGAAATAACCCCCACCTTACAGACGACCACAGTTCAATAACACTACATAACGGTGGTGCAGTGTTAATATATTTGGTGTCTTAGGCAACGATAGCCAGATTTTATCTGGCGCTAGTTGCCACAGATTTGAAATTATTTCAACCTCTTTTTTACCATATTACGCATAGTTAACACAAACTACTCGTTGCGGACTTAAATTGGTTACCAATAAACTTAAAATGAGAACAAACTGCTTTGAATGAAATCTGTCTTATTACAGTAATCTATGTTTTTTTTATATAGCGAGATAGGCAAATGACTCTACCCCACCTGATGTTAAGTGGTGATAAAGTCCAAATGCGACGATAGCTGGTACAGCAGTTATAAACTGCTACACCAACCATCCTCACCTTGCCGGCCTGCAAAAATGCTTCTTCCCGCCTCTCTTAAAGGATCCCAGATTATAGGAAGGAGGGAAAACGTGCGCGGGTAACGAATTCCACTTACGAATTGTACGACAAAGAAATGAGTCACCACATTTCTTTGTTCGTGTAGCAATAGTGGATGGATAACCAAAAATTTACTATCTCCAGCTCCTCCGTGCTTCGGAAGGCACGTTAAGCCGTCGGACCCAGCTGCATCGACAGTCGTTAGCACCTACCAATCCGCACTGAGCCCGCGTGGTGGGTCATGGGCCAATCTCCCTATTTCATCCATAAGGAAGGCTTGTGCCCCAGCAGTGGAGACATTTACAGGCTGGTGATGTAATGTTTGGGATTGCTACCATGCACCTTGTTTTCGGCGAGTCCTCGATATTTCGGCACTGTTGCAAGCGCCATGACCACGGAATAACTGAGACTTAGTGACTATGGAAGATCAAAACCATAAATCTATGCTATGGTTCTTTCTTTCTGGAATTCTAAACATTTCAATCTCATATATCCAACTCAATGTACCCACCGTAACACCCATCCTCCTGAGCCTGGCTGCGAATGGATCTATGTTGTAATACATATCCCACATGGTCCTCAGTTCTGCTACGCTCAGCCGGGGTTCATCATCATCAGCCTGGTCTTCATACACCAGGGGCACTGCGAAGGTCACTTGTGAGCAGTTCATGAAGTTAGGCCAGTTGATGTTGCAGACAGCCACGCCGGTAATCTGAGTTACTTCCGACCTGGAAAATGAGGTTTATATCATTGCAAAGTTTGTTGTTTCTCGTGAAAGAGCTGGCGCAGCTGGTAACTTGCGATACCAGCCGTTTCCTTAGTTTGATTTACGTCAATGCCCTGCCAGAATACCAGCGCCGAAATGGTGAGAGATTTTTTTTCTTTTCTCACTATGTCAGCTTATGCTGAGGCAGGGTCCTGGTTGGCCGTCTATAGATTTACTTTTATTTTTGTCATATTCTATGTTTATTGATGGCCAATAAGGAATTTTTCAAATTATACTTTCTTCAAATAGACATATAGAAAACTGTTCTGAATCGTCCAATATTTTTTCCGGACATCTTTTAGCGGATAAGAATATTGAGTTCAAGAAACTTATCAGCATTGACAGAAGTAGCAACATTTACATAAAATCATGTCGCTACCAATACAATTAGTAGTTCTTGTAGCGAAGTCACCTTTGACGCGTAAGTTGCACACCTTGAATCTAGTTGCCGTAAGAATTGATTTATTTCACTGTCCATTATCTTTATTTAAAAGATCGGTATTAATGGAAATTAGTAATAGAGATGACAGTATTGAATAATAATAGTATAATTTAATTCATTATTTAAAATATGTGTGTATACTATGTTATGTTAATTTATAAGTAACAAAATGGAATTATTTTTTATTGTCTTTTTTTAATACAATTATTTTCATTTTATTAATTGTAATTTTAAGAACTACTAATGCAATAAGCATTATGAGTATTCCTGTAAATATAGCTGTATGTGTTTTCTAATAAATAAATAAAAATTTATTGGATACATTAATTAATTATGTGTTACATAGTTACTTGTGAATTTAATGAGAAGACTGGCTTGCTTTAATGAGCGAAGTGTTCTTTATTATATCATCATAAATAAAGTTAATAAAGTTTATATAAAAGAGAACGGGCAAAACAGTATAGAACATGTACCCACAGACCAATAAAGACCAGATCCAAGTCAGAAATCACTGAGGGAAAAACCTCATTTAGCTATAATTATTTTCCCACATTGAATTGAGACTAGCCCCCATAGTAGCAAATAATAGCTGCGAAAAGAGCTTTCCGATGACATACGTCTGATCACAATTGGGAACATGTACCCACCGACCAATAAAGACCAGATCCAAGTCAGAATTCACTGAGGGAAAAATTTCATTTAGCTATAATTATTTTCCCACATTGAATTGAGACTAGCCCCCATAGTAGCAAATAATAGCTGGGAAAAGAACTTTTCAGTGACATATGTCTGATCGCAATTGGGAACATGTACCCACCGACCATTATAGACCATATCCAAGTCAGAATTCACTGAGGGAAAAACTTCATTAAGCTATAACTATTTTCCCTCATCGAATTCAGACTAGCCTCCATAGTAGCAAATAATAGCTGTGATAAGAGCTTTCCGGTGACATACGTCTGATCGCAATTGGGGACATGTACCCACCGACCAATAATGACCAGGTCCAAGTCAGAATTCACTGAGGGAAAAATTTCATTTAGCTTCTGGCATGGTTCTCTAGACCTGAACTTTGGTTTTGCAGCGGTGTATCCTTGTCATTCTCTATACAGAGTGAAGGGATGACACTGATGTTGGTTTGGTTTTAGGTTTGGAGAGTAGTAGCAGAGTCGGCACTAGTGTTTAGGAAATCACATGCATGTGTCTTACAGTTGTGTTTATAGTTTTTTTATAGTAATGTACACTGGTACTTAATTTTTTCCCCTATTTTGCAATCTAGTATCCATATGTGGTTAGGAGTAGTCATGCTCTCTTAAAAATCTCTTCGGCGGTGTCGTGTGAGGCGAGTCGTTAAAAAATGGTTGAGCGAAGCGATGGCTGGTTCATGCGTCCTGCTCGTGAACGGGTGCTGCCAGCGGAGATGAGTCTGCTCTTGCTACATTGGGTACTATTAATCGTTGTATTTAACTTTAATGGTACATTTGTTTTTATGCCTAAACAGTAGGACACGGCATTCCTAAACTTTTTTATTTTTAAATCTGTTTTTTATATTTTTTGTTTTATAGTCATAATTATTTTATCATTTACATTTGTAATGGAAAGTGACTTCATGAGTTATCTCATATTGAAGTCATTTTTCAAATTGACGACTCTGTATATAATACAGGGAGAAAAAAAAACCGCCCTTGCTGAATTTCTTGCCGGTTCTTCTCAGTACAAGGTCTCCCGCCGTAGATTTCCGAACCGATGGAGTAGCTTTTCGACATTCACAAGTGCTTGTAACAGCCTAGACTGAATAAACGATATTGAATATTGATTTTTTTTTGAATTTTATAATTATTTTCCCACGTCGAATTGAGACTAGCCCCCATAGTAGCAAATGATAGCTGTGAAAAGAGCTTTCCGATGACATACGTCTGATCGCTATTGGGTACATTTCACCAGCCCTCCTTTCATTTTATGTAAGAAGGGTGACAAACAAGTTTATGAGTAACTTTGTGGAAAGCGTTAACCAAAGCCTGCAAAAGCTTGTGATTACTTAGATCCTATTAGACTATCAGATAGTGATAATCTAAATAAAAATTCAATTATAACTATCAAAAATAAACATATTATGAAACAACCTCTAACATCCAATACTAGTGTTGTTCTTTTGGGAAGCGCATCCTCTCTTCTAATAACCAATTAGGGATGTCGAAAGTTAAAAAAAATATCGATATATCGATACATCAATATTTAAAAAAATATCAATATCGGCTTCGATATATCGCGAAAAAAACATCGATATATCGATATATCGGACCAATTTTAAAATCGGAAATAATAACAATACAAATTATAATTAAAGAAAGAATTATCAAAGTACCAAATTGCCGCTCACTACACTACATGACAGTATAGTATCTCACGAAAGATGACACGTGGAATAATAATGGAACGAAAATTAGTTACGATTTTTCCAGATACGAATTTAGTAAGATCGTGATATGCCGCTAACAATTAAAAAAATATCGTTTTTGATACGAATTTCGATATTGGTTATTTTGTATTGATGTATCGATATATCGAACCAAAATATATCTGCTAAAAATATCGATATATCGAACAAAAAATATCGATATATCGATACATCGATATATTTTCAACAAGCCTATAACCAATTGCGTGCCCGACGGGGTCCATAATGCTCATATTTATATAAGTACCTACCACCCACTGTACACATTATGGTTGCAATAAATGATTTGAGTTTGAGTTTATACACTACTCCGTGGAGACTTGGAACTTTAGTCATAGATTTAACCGAACACCCCAAAAGGTAGTATTATTTCACTATAATAGTAGTATAAGATATCATCGCAAACATACAGACAGACAAACGCGGCGAAGGGACTTTGTTTCATGAAGTATTGTTATTGGTCTTAACACGCTTTGAAAACATTTTTTTTTTTAAGTTTAGTCGAGAATAAATTCATGATTTATAAAATGATAATAATGTGTATTCCGTTTCATCATCATCATTATCAGCCTATTAATGTCCCCACTGCTGGGGCACAGGCCTTCCCTATGGATGGAATAGGGAGATTGGGCCATGACCCACCACGCGGGCCCAGTGCGGATTGGCGGGTACTAACGACTGCAGACGCAGCCGGGACCAACGTCTTAACGTGCCTTCCGAAGCACGAAGAAACTCGAGATAGAAGATTTTTGGTCACCCATCCAATGACCGACCACTGCGAAAGTTGCTTCACTTCTACGATCGCAGCCGCCATCGAGCTCCTCATGCGTATTCCGTTTAGCAACGGTTGAATTATATCAAAGCATTGTATTAACTACAACATAAATAAAAATATCTGCATCATAGCATTGTAAATCTTAGCTCTAGCGAAATAGCATTTAAAATTCTTTATCTGATAAAGCTTTATTGTACCCCGTTTAAAAATAGACTCAACCAGGTTATCTCTCTTGTTTTCCCGGTTTACTTGCATTCATTTACCGTGAGACGTTGTAAGGTTGTGGTTCCGATAACAGCGATTACGCTTTAGTGTATATGATAGAAAAATAAATAGACTTGCAACGAATATTCGGTTACTATTCGGTATTCGGCCTATTCAGCTGCTTTTATTATATTCGGCCGGATACCGAATATCTACATATTATTCGGCCGAATACCGAATACTTAAATAATATATTTTGTCATAGAGAAATATTTGGTAAAATTTAAAATGAAAATCGATTGATTACGTATATGTTCATATTTTCATTTCTGTTATATAATCATTTAAGTAGTCATTGGTACATAACACAGGTACATAATCATCTTCTGAATTGGAAAAATGGAGGATTCTATGTATTAGAATTATTGTGGTAATCAAAATTTAGAAGGGTAAGGTTCTCATTTCTTTTATAATCATTTATTAAGTAGTCAATGGTATATAAAACAGGTACATAATTTAATCATTTTCTGTATTAAACAAGTTAAAAGTTTTTAATTCATTCAGTCATGTGATGAATGGTTACATAATAGCAATAATTTAAAGTTTACGCGCCGTTTTTGGCCATATCTCAAAAGTTGGTTTTGTCATTTAACTGCATTTTAGCTTAAGGGCGGCAGATTAGAACAAAACAAAGGAGCGCGAAACAATCAAGTCTATACAAGATTTGGCGCTAAAATCCAGACGAATACATTTGCCTAATATTCGGATATTCGGTCAGGGGCCTCGCCGAATATTCGGTATTCGGTATACTGCCGAATATACTATTCGTTGCAAGCCTAAAAATAAACTATTATAAACTGAATATTTTTAAACATATTTATGGGCAATTAAAGACAAAATAATATGCAAGTTTTAAAGTGGTTGTCCGAAATACATTTTGGTATTACCAATCTATTGGCTTGTATTCCATTACTAAGTCTATATTTATGTTATCTTGTATGATTATCTTATGACTTTAGAAGATTTTCTTGTACGGTAATCTAATTTACATACTTATCCATACATAAGCGGTTTGACCTATGA